GTTTCCTCCAGCATCCATCACCAGGATGGTCACCTCAAATGCTGCCACACCATCCTGGTCACCTCTGCATGGGAAGCCCACCTGGACCACTGAGTACACAAAAGCCCTTATTGATTACCTAACCTTAAGCATCGATGTACCACAGGTTACATGGGCTATAATAATCATCTCATAGATGTGATTTTAAGAATCTAGATAGATAATTATGTGAATATATCAATACACTTCATGAATATTCCAGTACTCCACCAGTTTATTATCAAAGCGTTTGTTAAAAGGATGGTTCTCCCAAAAATGAAATTCTGTCATTATTTCCTCACCCTCAAGTTGTTCCAAACCTGTGTGAGTTTATTTCTTCTGTTGAACACACAAAAAAATATATTTTGAAGAATGTTGGTAACAAAAGAGTTGACGGTAGCCATTGGCTTCCATAGTATGGAAAAAAATACCATGGAAGTCAATGGCTACCGTCAGCTGTTTGGATAATAATCATCTCATAGATGTGATTTTAAGAATCTAGATAGATAATTATGTGAATATATCAATACACTTCATGAATATTCCAGTACTCCACCAGTTTATTATCAAAGCGTTTGTTAAAAGGATGGTTCTCCCAAAAATGAAATTCTGTCATTATTTCCTCACCCTCAAGTTGTTCCAAACCTGTGTGAGTTTATTTCTTCTGTTGAACACACAAAAAAAATTTATTTTGAAGAATGTTGGTAACAAAAGAGTTGACGGTAGCCATTGGCTTCCATAGTATGGAAAAAAATACCATGGAAGTCAATGGCTACCGTCAGCTGTTTGGTTACCAACATTCTTCAAACTATCTTCTTTTGTGTTCAACAGAAGAAAGAAACTCACACAGATTTGGAAAAAGTGCAGGGTGAGTAAATGACAGAATTGTCCTTTTTGGGTGAACTATCCCTTTAAGAGGGAAGATTAAAGCCACAACAATAGTAAAATAAATAAATTAAATAAAAGCACACCAGAGGCTTTGTGTGGCACTGATCCTATGAGAGGAACATTGACGGTAGGGTCATCCATAATGTCTTGATCCAATGAACGCAGAGTCTGAAACTCATAAAAGTACTCTGCCTGAATATAAAAAAAAAAGATAAACAGAGGTTAACTTTGTTTTAAACTTCAAAGAAGTAGTGTAGATTTGCATAAAGAGGGGCGTTTGGAACAATAGCACAAAAAAGGTTGCATGTGGTTCATGACAGGAGCACATATACATCTCTAAAGAGTAAAAAGAGGGTTTCCGGGTATCCTTAAGTTTGCAAGGCAATCAATTTCCTCCGAAAGAAGCGCAACCTTTTGAGAATTACACACTTGTGATGGTGAGGCCAAACACACGCTACAAAAAAAACTGTCCCAAAAGGAGATGAAAGCGAGGGAGATGGTTCTTTTTTTCCCCTCCTTTCTTTTTTCTGGTCTCTAAATTTCGGAGTGTAAAAGCTGGGCAGCGTTTGATGAAGGCAAAAGTACACAAGCTGTGTGGAGAGCTTAACTAATCCTACAGCTGAATGGTAATAACCAACACAGATAACTCTCGCCGCCAGCCTTTTATGCCGGAGACCTTTGTTCTAAAGCCTCAGCGGCCGTCTTTGAAGCTAACAGGGGCCAGGACAGAGTGGGCCCTTCTCTTTTTCCTCCGTATCCCTCCCCTTGCTATTTTAATTTCTCCCTCTTGCTGCTCTTTCGTCAAGTCAACATGCCATTCACGGATTATGATCCCGGTGTGCAAAGATAGATCACTTATGAAAAGCGATTCCTGTACATTCCCCCCAAAAGTTGTGAATGAAGCTGTGGTGCATGTAAGAGAATCATAGATCTAGTTTCCGTTGGCAGTTTGATAAAAAAATTTTTTTTTTTTTATGGAAAATTGTATGGTTGCATACGTGTTATGTGAGTTTAAGGTTATCCATGCTATTACAAAATAGGTTCAAACTGATTTTTAAAAGTTGCAACGTAAACGTGATCAAGAATTTTTCTATTACTTTTCTCCTTGCATTTGTCAACTGGAGTTGGTTAAACTGCTTTGGAAAAAATATTTACTGTAAAAAGTGCCATAAATAAATCTGAATTGAATCAAAACATGATTTTGGCAGCTAGGAAAGTTGTCAAATAAATGTAAAATGACAAAATAAAAGCTTTTTAAAAAATGATGTTAGACTAATTATGTTTTTTTCATTTTGTATTATTATTATTATTATTAAGTTACTTTTATTATTATGCCTTATAATGCTTAAAACAGTTCATACACAGTATAAATAAAAATATGCATAGAAATATATTGCAGCCTTTACATTTTTAGAAGAGATCCTGAGAACCAAAAGGTTTTAAAAGATTTCCTTTCTGATTTTAGTCAGGTCATTTGTAATGAATACCAGATACTGGCTATTTGGGATCTTCTGTGAAAAAAATTATATTATGAAACCTTGGGGGAAAGCTCTGTAGGGTAAAAATAATTTGCCACTGTTACTGCCAAAACCCTAACGAATTACAAAGAAGATCAACAAGCAATAACAACGCAACGCAAAGTGATTCCAAATGGAAGTTTGGTTGTTTAATACAGCGCGCGCTCTCAGTGTACTGATGAAGACCCAGATGTTTGGCACATGCATTGATCCGCGTGCAGCTTTACAACACCACCATGCAAAATACCACTAGAATTGAAATGACTTTTCCCCCCTTTCAAATTAGGCCAATATACGACACAGATTCGGTTTACAATATTAAAGTGCAAAAATATTTGATTAATTACAAACTTTTTTTCAGTAAAAGTATAGCTACTTTAAAACAAAATGAGCAATTCAATTGAGAATCAAAACGGCATGAGATTAGTTTTCAAAGAAAATATTTTGCAGCAATTATTTATATAATATATATTTATTGTAAACATCATTGCATCCATTATTAACTCGTTAGAAAATGTATTTTAATGTTAAGTTCATTTAAATGTAGGATCTTGTTTAAACGTAGTTTAGATATTTTATATGTAAACAAGAAAATACTAAGAAATATGACAATAATTCATATAAGAAATGTATATTATTAACAGCATATTTCACATGGTTTCATGTATTTCCGAATGGTAAAACAGCTTATTTACACAAACATGTTCATCATAAAAGTCAATAAACCTGAAAACTCCACGTGCACGCATAAGGAAAAACTTGTAAAAGGATAAGCTTGTTTTAAAGATGTTTAGATGTTTTATCTGAATAGGACTGCATCAAGGAAATAAAATGTGTAATGCGTCCCCTGGTTAAGATCACGCCAGATGAAGAATATACAAAAGTTTGACAGTAGCCTACCTGATGAGTGGCTTGCCAGGTGAAGTTCACGTGGTGGATATTGACAGGTATTGCTGGCATTCGCTGCTGAGCTTTCCTGAAGTCGTGTGTGAATGGGGCCATTTTGCCATCGGAGACTATTAAAATATCCTCTTCAAAACCTGTTGGAGAAAACATTGAGCATTCACAAGCATCTCGTAGCTTGAAAACCCCTGTGCTAAAGTCATTATGCACTGGCTTGGCTCACACTTGGGCTCTAATATCATTAAAGCGCTAAACACTATTACCAATTAATATTCTTGCTTGATTGGCATCAATCCACATGTACATGCTTCCTTGCTCTTGGGCAGCTTCCATCAGACCCCCTAAAAGCAGAAGAAAGCACGTTTTAAGATGCAGCTGAACAGCAGGCTTCCTGAAAGCCATCCCTTGGTTTATTTAAAGTGAGTTGGCCGGCTTGCTGGCTCTCCCCTCTCGCTTCAATCCCGTGCACTAAATGTGTCTCGAGTGAGTCTTCAATTGACAGAATGATTCGCGCGGACTGTTCCGCGAGCTACTTGTACGCAGCAGGAGCTGCAGTTCAGATTTCGCCACAAGGCGGCGTGGTTTAAGACAAGACGCCCCTGAGTCACAATTAAAATAGTCGATATGCACACAAGCTGATTGATGCTTTGAAGTGTAACAGCGTGATAATGAAAGGTATTCTTCCATAATTAAAAAGGCTTCTCTTGGTTTAACCAAACTCAGCATGGATACTTTTCTCAACATCTTTATTTGTATTTTTATATTCCTACACTTGCTTCAATTTATGTCACCAGCACTGAAATTCCCTGTACGGCTGTACTTGGAGATTCATTTTCATTCATTTAATTCTAAATGCATATTTACCAGGTGTCAGAATATCTCAAACTAATAAGCAACATTTGATTGACTTGATTTTCTTTACTGTATATCAATCTATTTTTCTGATTTTCATTTAAATCTGGGTTTCAATTATTCAAAACAACAACAAAAATAAATAATAATAATGTTTATTCAATAATTTTTTTAAATTATTATTATTATAGACTATTATTATTATTATTATATTACAAAACATAAAATGGATGAAGATGATGATGATGATGTTGATGATTATAAAAGTTATGTTCCAGATATCACATCGGAACTCCTTCATGAGTGGAAAAGTATGTTAGGAAAAAAATGGTTTCTATCCCAGCACATCATTTCTGAAATAAAGAGGTGTCTTATATTATTAGAAACCCCGTCTTTATGTTATTATTGACTGAAATGTGGCAGTCCTTTAAAGATCCAAAGGCAGTCTAAAAAAATTAAATAAAATAAATAAAAAATGAATAAATATATATATATATAGACTATTCTTAATATTTATATACTTTATTTAGATTTTTGTCTTCTCTGTGTACCCCTTCTGACGAAAAAATTAAAAAATGAATAAATATATATATATATGTATATATACTGTATATATATATATATATATATATATAGACTATTCTTAATATTTATATACTTTATTTAGATTTTTGTCTTCTCAGTGTACCCCTTCTGACGGGTTTTCCGCTCTTTTTCTTGATTGTCATTCATAGCGATGTATAATGTTGTTCATTTAATAATTAATAAAATGAAAAATAAACTTTCCCGTTTCGTCCCTTTCAGGTTGGCCGTCTGGCCGCTTACTTCTACGTCACTTCCGCCGTGTCTCGCTGTATGCGTTTTTTCGAGCAAAGATGGCGTCTGCACAGTTAACGGATAAGGAGATTGTGTCTGAATTAAAACGGCTCGGCTACACTCCGGGCCCGGGGACGGAGAGCACGCGGCCCGTGTACTTGAAGAAACTGAAAAAGCTGTGGGAGGAGCAGCCACAGCCGCGGGGCTCCCGGAGCGGAAAAGGACGCAGCAGCAGCGGGAATATCAACAGCAACGGCGGTAGCGGCGCTAGCAACAGCAACGCCGCGGCGCGAGCTCCGGGACTCAGCGCCAGGCCACCGGACGGTGACGTCACGCGTCTGAGCGCCAGCCGGAGCGAAAAGCGCAGACCCGGAAAGTTCGTGCTGGGCTTCAGCTCGGACGAGTCGGACGCGGAGGCACCGCAGAAGAAAGGAGGCCCGAATCACGGCGGCAGCAGGAGAGACCGAGGATCCGCGCTGCAGACACCCAACTTCAGGCCTGCGGGAACACCCGCCGCCTCCCTCGGCTTATCCGTGGACAGGAAAAGCATTTCTGCGTCTCCGTGGTGGGCAGACCGAGGCAAATCCAACGATTTAGAGGAAACGGAAAGAGACAGTCGGACTTTGAACGGGAATAAGGCGTTTTATGAGTCTAACAGTAGTAAGCTAGTCAGGGACTACTCTGATTCAGACGAGGAGGAGGAAGAGGAGGGTGAACGAGAGCGTCCCCGCGAACGCCGTCTGACTTCCAGACACCCCTCTTCCCCTTACCGGAGCGTCTGGAGCGCGGAGAAGTCGGCGCATGATTCTCCCGACTTCAGTCTAGATATGCTCGGGGAACGAGATGAGAAGAAACCGAGGGAGTTCAGCGGAAGCTACGTGAGCCGCAGCTACCAGAAACTCTCCGGGATTGACGGGGATGATAACAGCAGCGGCACCGGCGGCGGTGGTATCGCACCCGGTTCTTTTAATAAGAACCACATCGACAACGGAGACGGCGAGTCCCCCTGCAGCAGCAGCAGTAGTCGGTTCAGTATCGGGCTCAGACCGCGCTTTCCCTCCTACACAGCGACCTACCGAGCGAACCATTCGAACCACACCGGTTTCAACCACTCCTACAGCCATGCCTCAGCCCTCAAGCCCAAGCAGCACACCGCGGTCCCCACTAGTTAAAATATCGATCTAAATGATTCATTGGTTAATTGAGAACTTAAATTCTTCTTTAAAAATCATTTCAAAATTATGTTGAATAATTACAAGGATCATTTTATTTAATATTTATGTTGTATGTTTTGTGCTTTAAATAATTATTCAAAATAAATTCAAATGGAATTATTTTAAATACTCAGGAATTATCAGTGACTGGAAAAGTCGTGGAAATTCACTCTTGAAAAGTGTGGGAACCCTCTGAGTGTCTGTTATTTGATAATCATGGTTAGTCTGGTAGTCCCCACATTTTGACATGTTGACATCCTGTATGGTCATAATGTGATAGCCAGCATTAATCTTTTGATGCATTTTCCCAGATGAGAGAAAGTCTGTTCTTGAATGTGCATGCTATGCCACCAATAGCTTGAGTACCATCAGAGTAAAGTGCTCTGGAGGCAGAGACGGCTCTTGAGAGGAAGCCGACTGATGAATTACTATGTATATTTGTGGCATGGCCAGTCTCTCAGGGAGGGAGCTTTGACTGGAGAGCGTGCTGCAGACATCTAGGTCACAGACAAGCTAAAGCGGCCTAATTGTCTGTCTCTCAGGGGACTCTGGGAGCTTGCGGCCAGCTAGAGTGACTGACTTCTCTCTGGCCGGCTAAACTCTGCCTAACTCTCACTTTGAGTGTGACATACAGTATGTGTATCAGATTTCTACTTGCTCAGATTGTTGTTTGCAGCTTGTGATTTAGGATGGTTATGTTGAACAACATACTATAACTAGTGCGAAACTAATAGCACTACTAGTATTGCTGCTGTGTGCACTACATAAGCACAGTATTAAAGTAGTCTGTGTGCATGAAATATGTCAGAACATTCAATACAATATCCCACAAAGCAGTGTGCTGGACTTGATCTTCCAGTTTGACGACTTAGTCATTTAAAACATCCTGACTCTATTTGATCAGGCTGCAAAAAATGCCAAACGTTTACTTTTGTTTCTTAATTGTCAACTGGATGCTACTTGCAGAATTAACTGCAGTGTAACAAGGTAATGTGGCAACAATGTAGCATAAAGCTGTTTGAAATGTGTATCATTATGTAGAATGTTACTTTTTTAATAGTATGCAAGTGTCCAATTCTGAACATAGTCAAAGTTTAGTTCTATGATGTGTCTAATATTTTAGTAGGTTTTAAGAACTTATCAGAGAAACAAAGGCTACTTCAAATTTTGTGCACTGTGTGTATTATAAAGAAGATAGTTTTGATAATATTGTTTATTTTATTGTTAGTTCTGCTGTTATAAAAAAAATCAACCTTAGTTTGATTAGACGTCATGCGGGATAGATTTAAAGTCTTTACAATGGCATGCACTGTATAAAGGTCCTAGATCTCACAATTGCCAACTTTTAAAACTGTTTTATGGAGTTTTCTTTACTGAAATTTTTGTCAGCTGAACAATTATGTTGTTAAACAACAGTATAGTCCGTTGAACTGTACATCTATTTCTCCCAGCCTTGTTTTCATTCCTGTCAAAAAATTACGTTTTTAATAAATAAAAAATGGCGCCAACCTGAATAAGGCCTGTAAGCCACCTTTGGCCATGTGTTTTTGTGGTTTTACCACGGTTAAGAAGGTTTAAGCCACTCACATCTATAGCTCAACCACAAAAACAGCAAAATGGGATCTTATCATCTGAAATCTAGGCCAGACTTGGTCAAGTTTAGTTCTATGATGTGTCTAATATTTTAGTAGGTTTTAAGAACTTATCAGAGAAACAAAGGCTACTTCAAATTTTGTGCACTGTGTGTATTATAAAGAAGATAGTTTTGATAATATTGTTTATTTTATTGTTAGTTCTGCTGTTATAAAAAAAAATCAACCTTAGTTTGATTAGACGTCATGCGGGATAGATTTAAAGTCTTTACAATGGCATGCGTATTATAAAGGTCCTAGATCTCACAATTGCCAACTTTTAAAACTGTTTTATGGAGTTTTCTTTACTGAAATTTTTGTCAGCTGAACAATTATGTTGTTAAACAACAGTATAGTCCGTTGAACTGTACATCTATTTCTCCCAGCCTTGTTTTCATTCCTGTCAAAAAATTACGTTTTTAATAAATAAAAAATGGCGCCAACCTGAATAAGGTCTGTAAGCCACCTTTGGCCATGTGTTTTTGTGGTTTTACCACGGTTAAGAAGGTTTAAGCCACTCACATCTATAGCTCAACCACAAAAACAGCAAAATGGGATCTTATCATCTGAAATCTAGGCCAGACTTGGTCTTGAAACTTAAAAGCAATTGTTTTTCTGGAGTATATGGCTTTTTCTCAGAGATTGATGTATTAAATGGCTTGCAACATCAGACGGCTCACGTCTGATAAGCCAGACCAATGCAGTCTATGATTGAGACACGCAGGGCAGTTGCTGTGCTTAATCTGGGCCCGGGCCAGAGCGAGGACAGAAGCACAATGTTCAGACAATGACTCAAGTGTGAGACGACGAGAGGCTCTCCCTTGTAGTCACCCTCAAGTGTGAGACGATGAGCAGCCCTCCTCCACGGCATAGTTGGGAAATACCATCCAGCCATGTATCATTATAATTTGTCTAGTGCTGAGTAATGCCGTTTGTCAAATTACTTTTCTTTCGTTTTCAGTCGTACTTCACCCATTCGGACCAGAGTTTGATCTGCAGTATGTAAGTATCTGCTCACCTGTGTCCCAAGTTTTAAACTTTTAGTCAAGCAAATTCCCTTTTCCACCAAAAAGGTATTTCTGGTTTTACCGTCCTTAAACATGCACTCACAACAATGACTTGCATTGATTTTAACAGGACATTAATGACCGAGACCTCATCCTTAATCTGCTCCTGTCTCTACATGAGCACCTGGCCAATATCGCTGGTGAGCATTCAGATACAACTTAAATATATTTATACTTATCTTAAATATATTTTGTTTTAATATATGCAGCATTAAATAGTGCAACCGTTTGATTGCCTTTCAGGAGAACATGATTGTGGAGACCTTAAAAATCCTTTAAACAGAAGTGTCTCTTTTAGTGACGCCTCTACGTACCTCAAGGTTTGTTTTATTTATTGAAGGGTTTGATCTCCATTTTCTGTTCAAGTCAAATTGCATTGTTTCTTTAATTGTATAATTTGGGAAATAGTGGCTCTACCAATATGAAACTGCACAACATAAAGCATCTTTCTCTTTCAAGCTCCAAAATGAAGCCTATGAAAACTTGATTGAAACGTCTTTAGAGTGGGTCATGAAAACCAAAGATGTTGTCGGTATAAGGTACCTGATGTCCATCCAAAGTATCTATCTATCTATCTCTCTATCTATCCTATCACTCTTTGTGTGCTGTTTTCCTGTGTTCATTGAGGGTGTGTTGGTTTCTTGGCAGGTTGATTGGTGCTGACTCAGCTCAACCCATAGAGGATGTATCGGAAATCTCACGACTGGAGTCCATCCACCCCCGCATGTCCTTCTTCTGTCGCCTCAGACGCGCCTTCTTCACTGTGATCCACAGAGTTCTCTTCGTCCTTGCAGGTTGGCTTCTACTCTCTGTAGAGGATGGTGCTTTCTGCACGGGGAAGATCTTTTCACTAACCTTTCCTGCATTTCTCTGTAGGCATCGGTGTAGTTTTGGGTTTGGTGTATTGCATGAAATACAGATGGCGCAAAGAAGAGGAGGAAACTAGACAGATGTATGACATGGTGGAGAGGATCATCGGTAAGGCTGTCTCATCATTAGGCTATATTTTTAGCACAGTAATTACACAATGCAGGTGTAAAGCATCTTAATCACCTGTGCTTTGTGTTTTCACAGATGTAATGAGAAGCCACAATGAAGCCTGTCAGGAGAATAAGGACTTGCAGCAGTATTTGCCCATCCCTCACGTCCGTGACTCTCTTGTCCAGCCTCAAGACAGGTATTGCGTCTTTGCAGTACAAATTTGGTTTTAGCTTGTTTTGCATTTTTGGATGAAACACCCTCTTTTCCTGGTCCAGTGTATTCTGAAGAGTATGTGTATCATGTCATTCTCTCAGAAAGAAGATGAAGAAGGTGTGGGACAGAGCCGTTGCATTCCTCTCAGCTAATGAGTCCCGCATCCGGACAGAAAAGCAGAGGATTGGAGGGGCGGACTTCATGGTGTGGCGGTGGCTTCAGCCCTCAGTGTCACCTGATAAGATGTCCAGCATGCCCTCCAAAGTGTGGCAAGGCCAAGGTAAGGTTTTCTTCGTGTGGAGTCATCTGCATTTTAAGGTCAAACTCGTACCTTTTTACTTTTTTGGATTAATACATGTGGGCAACTCCTTCTGATTGACTTGTTTGGAGGACTAACTTCCTGTTAATGCAAATGTAACTGATATTAAACATTCAACACGTTTATGCATAGTGTCCACATTCTTTTGGGCATATAGAGTATGTTCATGAACCTAAAGTGGCTTGTTTTGTTCTTCAGCATTTCCATTGGACCGAAGAAATTCGCCACCAAACAGCTTAACGCCGTGCTTGAAGATTCGCAACATGTTTGATCCTGTTATGTAAGTTTCTCAAGGACTTTTGCATGTGACCTCACATTAAATTGGTTGTTGAAGTAAAATGTATTTACTTGCATAATTGTATGTAATTTTGCGTGATAGAGTGTTTTAGAGAAATGTATTTCCCTCTTGAACAGGGAAGTAGGGGAAAACTGGCACCTCGCCATTCAAGAAGCCATTTTGGAGAAGTGCAGTGATAACGATGGAATCGTTCACATAGCTGTTGACAAAAACTCAAGAGAGGTGAGAATCCTGTGTGATTCATTACAAAATGTACAGCCTGGGTTTATAGGTTCTTGTCCAAAAGCTAAAGAGTTGCCTGCTACCTTCAAAGGCTGCATCCCAGCCATCATGCACCCTCATAAGTGGCCAATTTGTAACACACTACAACAACATGCAACTACTCCTTACACCAGACAAATTGACTTGACTCAGTTTATTCCAATGGAGTCATATTGTAAGAAGCATAAAATGCATAGAACAGTTAATTTTTAATGTGTGGTGTTATTGTTTGCAAAACTATTCTTTATGCCATCTTGAATTGTTTTGATTGGTTCCAGTGGAGTTTCATGTTAGCATGTTGCTAAGCTTACAGGTGCTACATATTGTAATAAGCATAAATGGGATATACAAATATTGGGTAAAATAAGCTTTCTTTAAGTACTCTGAACATTATTGTTTACCATATTGGTTTGCTTTCAAGCTGATCGTATAAATTGACTTTACTCAATTGATTTGAATGTCATTTGATGTTAGCATGATGCTAAGCTAATGGGTACTAGATAATAATATTAGCAAAATGAAATGGGACAAACAAATAATAATTATTATTATTATTTTTATTTTTATTTTTTATTTTTTTTATTACACAGAACTGTATTTCTTTGTACCTCATTCATTAATTTTTAGCAGTGCATTCTAGTATTGTCTTGTTCACAAAGGGTATGATGTTGCCTTAGAATTTTTCTTTCTTTTGGAACAGTGTAATATTCCTAGAAGCATTTAATTAATGGGTTGATGTGCTGTATGATTTTGTTCTCATCTAGGGCTGCGTTTATGTGAAGTGCCTTTCAGCAGAGCATTCTGGGAAAGCCTTCAAAGCGCTTCATGGCTCCTGGTTTGATGGTAAACGAACGATGCATTTATTCTAGATTAATCAGAAGAACTGCAATTTTCAGTCCGTTTAAACCTGCCATGCCTTTTTTTATAGGTAAGCTGGTGACGGTCAAGTATCTACGACTGGATCGCTACCACCAGCGTTTCCCACAAGCCCTGGGCTGCAACATGCCCCTCAAGCCCTCCAGCTCCTGCATGAACAGCATGTCTCGCCTGAACCAGCGATCCAGCACATCCAGCTCACTGGGTTTCTCTTGAGGCACATGCTAATGGCCACCACCATCCTCTCTGCTCTCTCTTTCGCTATATACGAGGCTCCCTTCTCCTGCGTCCTCTTCACCAGAGAGAACTGCGTTCAGGAGCTTTTACAGTTGGGCGACCTGGGACGCCCAATCAGTTTTGTCAGCCATATGCAAGCAATGGTGTTTAAACCTGTGAGCTGCTGTGTTTTTTTTCTTTTTTCCTGTCCTTCGGTATCAAGGAAAGCAAGGCAGATGCACACACTTGCGTGAAACCGGTGGAGAGAGAGTTGCTCGGTCCGGTGAGAGCTTTTAGGAGAGGTGGACGATGCAATCTCTGTCCTTCTCATATCTGGTGCAAGTGGACACAAATTTCTGTTTCTTATGTATTTGCTTTGTTTTTGATAAACCGTCTTTATGGATTCAATGACAAAAATGGCTTCCAACTTTAAATCTCACACCACGATTGAGAGTTTTCCGGCCTCTGCTTATTTTTTATGTAACTAACTCCCCTCCTTAATTCCAAGGAGCTCTGTTGGGCTATACGTAGCTGCATGTGCTGGTTAAAGTATGCCTATATTTAAGCTTTGAATTGTATCATATACTGTGGATGTTTATTTCCCTGATGCTGTTTTAGCTGATGTATTCCCTTTATTATTTTTCTTTGCCTTTTTGTTTTGTAGTTTTTAGTCCAAGAACAGCATGCACACACTCTAGAAAGGGGTGCTGTAAATATCTCATTGAATGGTGGTGGTTGAAATCATGTATATGAAACAAATCGTCATAAGCTCTTGTTTGTTTCTTGCCAACAGAATAACTACACTGCTGCATTCAGAGACGTGTCATGTGGAAGGGTCTACATGGCTTTATGAGAGAAATTAACAATTGTTTCCCTTCAATGCCATGTTTCTGAACACTAGTCTTAATTGTCACAGCCTGATTATATTCAAGTATATAATTATTTACTGTTGTTTTGTTTATATTTTAAAAGTTATGTTTTTCCCATTATAGTTGGTGCAGATGGATGTTCTCCCCTCCCTTACTGGTCACTTGGCAGATTTTAAATGCCACCCTGTCGCTGTTTTTAATCTGTCCCCGACCCTTCTAAATTTCCAAAGGAGATGTTTTTGATGGAAGTTGTTTTCTGACTTTCTTGTACACACTTGTGCTACGGTCGCAGCCTGATATGGTGATCTGATTCTAATTCGTATCGGGACACATTCATAAACAGAGCATGTCATGCTGCGGTCATGTCTATTTTGGATCACAGAAAGATTTATCAGCTTTTGTTTAGATGCAGTTCGGGTGGATATGAGGTAAATAAAATGTACTTGTTTATTACTCATGTTTATCTCCTTCCTCGATGAGATTCATTACATGATCTACATGAGCACATTTTATCTTCACTTTCCCATCTATATTTATATAAAACATTGGAAATGGCTTTTTACATAAGGTTGATCTTTTAATTGTTGAAAATATTTCTAAGAGTCAACGGTAGTTGCCCACTCCAGATATCTAGGTGAACAAGTTAGTGCAATTGAAAACATAATGGTGTGGTCTTAAGACTTCCAAGTATGTTTTTAGTCTTGGAGATTGATCAAGAGATATTTTTTAATCTGTCATGGAATATGTTTTAAAAATGTTTAATTTCTATATTAGTAAACAAAAATGGACAAGATTCATAAGTTAAGTATTACAATTTACATATGCAAACTTAGACATTTCAGTCCTATTTTGCAACAATTATACAATTAATCATAGAAAACAAGCTATTCAAAATGCACCCATTTTTTTTTTGTCATGGAATATGTTTTAAAAATGTTTAATTTCTATATTAGTAAACAAAAATGGACAAGATTCATAAGATAAGTATTACAATTTACATATGCAAACTTAGACATTTCAGTCCTATTTTGCAACAATTATTATACAATTAATCAGAGAAAACAAGCTATTCAAAATGCACCCATTTTTTTAAACTTTATATTCACTTTAAATAGTTAGATAATTTAATTAGCCTGCTTTATTCCCAGTTTCTAACCAATCTAAAAGGATCCTAAAGTTAAAATAAAATAATAATAATAAATAGCACCACTAACAAAACCATATAATGTAGAGTTGGACATTTAAAGTATTGCTTAGCATTCAGTGGTAAATTATAATATACATTTATTTTGAATCCGCAATCGAAAGCAGTAGGATGTGATGATAGCATGCAAAGCTAAATCTAGTGAGGGTTGTTGCTTCTCGCTGAATAACTGCGCGCAAATTACGCATTGCTTATATTTGGAGCTCGTCTGCCCAGCGAGAGGAATTTCCCAGAATGCACTTGTGATTACCTAAGAAGTACACAGTCGTGTCGCTGTTTGACAAATGCTCTGCTCTCACAGCGGCTCCTTTCACTCTCTAGTCTGCTGTTCTATTCGGTTTTAACGCTATTTCTGCTGTCTGGTACGTGTAACTACTTATTATATGTTTATATTGTTTATTACGCACTTTTTAAGTGACTTTAATGTGGGCAACAGGGTCTCTATGACTACGCGTTGAATGTGTAACACAACACCGTTATATTTTACTGTCAGTTTAAAATTGACGCAGTTGAAATGTATGACATATGTACGCGTTTGTTCCGTCTGTTTATGCGGTTTTATGCTTATATTTTAATATGACAGAATATTACGTAAGTAGCCACAGCGTATGTTCCTAGTCTTCTGTATGAAGCATATCAGGTATACTATGTATACACTATGTATCCTCCCACACATGATTTATTTATTTATTTGTTTATTTAGTCATTTAGCAGACGCTTTTATCCAAAGTGACTTACAAATGAGGACAATAAAAGCAGTCAAAACTAACATAAGAGCAACAATATATAAGTGCAAATGACAAGTCTCGGTTAGCCTAACACAGTACACGTAGAAAGGTATATATATATATATATATATATATATACACACACATATATACATACATATAATATATACACACACACACATACACACATATATATATATATATATATATACACTTGTACATACATACATATATATATACATACATACATACATATATATATATAATAGAATAGAAAGTGCTAGAGTTAGAGGGTCAAATAAAGGTGATGACGTGATGTCATAGCAGCGAGGTTTTATTACGTAACATTTTGTCTATGCAAACCACACCCTTACAAAAATGACTACTGTACACACCACAGTATTATCATGAGACTCCATACTTTCGAGTAGGCTATACCATGGTAATTCTTTGTAAGTGCAGACCATTCAAAGTCATTAATATTTTATGTCATGTTTATTTAATTGCCCTCTAAACTCCTGACACCGGTCTAATAAACACCTAAAAGCCTATCAGGATGTTCAGTCATCTGATGGACATTTAATGTAATAACATAGATGAATTTATATAATCTTTGTGCTTGTGAGTCATGAAATTCTGGTGTAAATGTCCTATTCAGTATGTTAAATATCCTTCACTGTATCGGTAACAAAACAGCCATATTATTATAAGGCAGTTTGGGTGTTGCCAAACAAAACACACAGATAATTTGCCAAAGTTTCACATGCTTGAGATATTCATCCACTTCTGATGTTCTTTCATTTGCCAGCATTCACTTAATCGTTGTTCCCAATGGCCCTGCAACCATCAAAACCAGGCAATCATATACACAGATCTGATCTGCTTTAAAACATTTCAGTTCTCATCTGTCGCTTTATGACCTTATATAGTTATGACTGTCACTGTACCTCAAGTATCAAGCATGCTTTATTTATTAACTGCATTGATACTCAGAGCACTTGATATTTTTGGTGAGTAAATGCACTTATTTTGCCTGCTGTGGAGAACTTGTTCATTTTGTAGTTCAATAGAGAAGGGCAGTTTATTGATAGTGATAAGAAGCAGTTGTCAAAATGATATTTGTTTAACGAGCCTCTCTCATCAAGTTCCAGTTCGGCTTTACAGAAATTAAATAAATGAAGATTTGGCTTTCCTTGCGTGTGATTCATCAGTGCAGCTAAACAGAGTAAAATAAATAAATTAATAAAATGCACATGCAGTAACATTGGAGGAAACCGGATCAAGTGTTCAAATCATTTAAAGAGAACTTTCTGGAATGCAAACGATGTAAACATCAAGCTGTAGACAAACACAGTCCTATGGTGCGATTCTGCAGAGCTGTAAGTGAGATATTTATAGTCCTCTCTGCAAGTGATTGCTGGGTATTTTTAAAATGTGGCCTTGCTTGTGTCTGTATCTGTTCATGTGTTAAAACCTCTCGTGCCACACAGACCAGTCCTGGGTGAAGAGTCAAGTGTCTGAATGCTGTTGCATTCATTTACTGTAACAATTCTGAATTTAGATGCAAAACAATCATAGTTGCCTTATTAATTTTGGTCAGTGGCATAATTTTTACAAAATTGTTGCATAATAATGTTATATATCATTATAAATGGAATGTTGTAATAAAAAATATTTTTAATATATCAGAATGATTTAATATATTTTTTTACATTTTTTAAATGTTTTTCTAAATTACAATTCTGTGTTTTTCTGTCAATATGGGGTGCTGTGTGTACATTAATGAGGAAAAAAATTAACTTAAATGATTTTAGCAAATGGCTGCAATATAACAAAGAGTGAAAAATTTAAGGGGGTCTGAATACTTTCCGTACCCACTGTATATATATATATATATGAAAATGTATAGAACATTATGCCAAAATATCAAAACCAAGTTTCAAGCAAAATGTCACACAAAATATTTTTAAAATGGTAAAAAATACTTGTTGAAATATATTGTTGAAGATTAAGACAAAATGTATTTAGACAATTTCTGGTCAAAAGTGGAATATGTTCATAGTTAATGTGATGAACTACAGCTGTGGTTACTCCGTGAATTTGAGGAGAACTTACTTCATACTAAAAAATTACCTGATTAAAAGTAAAAAACAAAAATTGGCTCAAATGAGACATGAGCCAAGCTCGTCTGGTGGCAGATGCTACATATAATGCATATATATCAAAATATTTTTTTCTCCACACTAAGAATAAGTGCTAAATGGAAGAATGTTCAAATCAAGCTCTTTCTGATGATAAGTTGTCATTTGTGCTCTTCTCCTGTCTCCTTGTTGCAGTAGATGAAAAGATCTTTCTCTTTTCCTCACACCTGCATGACCACTAGATGGACCTCATTCCTTATAAACCACAGCTTCACCCTCACGCTCAGCAGCGCTCTGTGGCTTTGCCTGTTATTGAGCCCATAGTTCAGATGTAATTTCCCACAATCTTTGGCCTCTTAACAGTTTTAAAGCTACCTTTTTCATAGGTCTTTATCTTTATAGTTTCAAGAAGGCTTGGAGAAGGTCTTAAAAACCTTCCTGCATTCTTCAGCGTGCGCTCGAGTTTGCCATAGGCCAGGATGGCTGCCCATCTTCTCCGATCCATGGCCCCGTGCGCATCCATGGCCCTGCTCCAATGCAGTCGTTCCCATAAGTCCGCAAGGCCGCTCCTAGCACTGATTCCACCCTCTACGCTAGGTACTGTAACCAATGTGGTTAGGATATATAATGTGCTATATTTGAGCAAAATAGATTGTTGTGTTGTGCATTGGTTTGCAATTGTTTTTTGTAGTACAGCTGATATAAGCAAAGTTGCTAATGTGTATAAGTATAAATTTAATTATAAGGTTAGTTTCCCTTTATGGCCCACAGACACACAACTGACGTGCTACAGCCATAGAAACCGCTGATAAGCTCGGTGTATGGCAGCTTTTTTTTTTTTTATCTGTTTTCTATGCAAAATGCTTCTGCACTTTTTGCTGTGTCTTCTCAAGGCTCTGGATTCTAAAACTAATAACCCAGCTCATTAAACGTGACATAAAATATATGTTGGTTCCACTAATGAAGTTCTCTGACCTTTTAATCACTTCTCAAAAATGTCAAATAATATTTTTTCCCCATTAATCTCTCTTCACTGCTTTAAAATTTATCCATGGAAGCCTGAAATGGACAATAAAAAAGGTAATTGCAACTTTTTATTTCACAATTTGGACGTTTTTTCACAATTCTGAGTTTGTTTTACAATTCAGATTTATTTTCACAATTCCAAGGGAAACATTCAGAATTGTGAGATAAGAAGTCAGAATTATGAGATATAAACTGGGAATTGCATGATATTTTCTTAATTATGACAAAACAAAATTTTAATTGCGAGATGTTAACTAATTAACTAATTCTGAGAAGAAAAGTCCAAATTGTGAGATAAACTTGCAGCTGTGAGGGGAAAAAAAGTCCAAATTGTGAGATAAAAAGATGCAGCTTTCATATGTATTTGACTGTCAGCAATAAAAAAAAATAATAATAAAATTGGCTGCTTTAAGGTTGTGAGGTATAATATTAAAAAGCCTTTATTAAAATGAAAACTCAGTATGCCAAAGTTTTTTTAGTATTATACCTTGTGATGTACATTTAACTGTCATTTACGTAATGTCTTAAGGGTGCAAGGTCCTCATTTGAATTGTGGGTAATATGTTTTTACATATTTATCATGCCCGTTCACTTCTCTCTCTTTACACAGTGACGTTAATCAGTCTTTCCCTGCATGAGAAGTGTCAGCCATCCCGTGATAGGCTGCTCTAAGTGTCCATCTCTGTGACTGACATCTGTGTTGACCTATGTTGTGTTTATTTTTTCTTCTTCCTCTCCCTCCTCGACTATGTTTGTCTTTATTATTTTTTAGCCTGAGTGGTAGGAGGTGTTTTAGCAGGCGGCTCCTGTCTCGCCGCTGTCTCTGTTCTCCCTGCAGCATCGGCCGCAGCCATGTCCGGGTTCAATCTACTGCATCTGGTCAGCCAAGGCCAACCTGTAAAACTCAAGGCCTGCGGGCTCCCCTCAGGTCACCTGGATGCTGTGTGTGTGTGTGTGTGTGCAGTGTGCTTTGCTTTCTCGATACTTTCATATGTGCGCACACGCGTGTGTGAGCGTTCGGCAAGGGGTGTGTGTGTTTGGTTGATGATAAGGTCACTTGTGGAGAAACCAACTTTTGGATTTATCTAAAGGCAACCTGACATTGAGCTTTATCCTGTATTCTTTACTTTGACCATCTTCACATAAATGCATGGACAGCTAGCTCCTCAACAGGTGAATAGATAAGACTTTTGGTAAGATTTTAGATCAATTTCTAAATAGTTGGCTGCCAGATATCAGGTTCCCCCTGATGCTTGCGTTGGTTTTTCTGCATTTGATGACCCCTTGCCCGGAAATGTCACCTTTTGCTTTGCTCTTTTTTTCCTCTGTTTAGCTCTTCAGTTGCTCATGGAATAACGCCTAACTCACTGTTTTACCTTCTTTTACGCCTGCATGATTAGTCAAGCTTTAACATGATCTACTAATGATTGCATTTGTATTAGCATTTTCCATTTTAGGAATTTAGATGACACTCACATTTGATACAGGGTGTGTTCTGAGGGAAATTTTCGATCAGTTAGTTGTATCTAATTGCATTTTTGTAAAGTAATCATTGGTGCATGTTAAAACCTTTCATAGGTTTATTAAGACACATCAGTAGATTAATATCAATAACTGGGCGTTTCTGTGTCAAAATAATAAAACCCAACAGGATTTAGATTTCTTAAAGTTAATAATAGTGCTGGCAAAGTAAAAAAAAAGACTAATGTTAAAATTTTAGGCAAAGTGTGTGAATGAAATGCTGCTTTTACTGAATAATAATTAACACAGCTTTATGACTGAATAGGCATGAGAAAGAACAGTTGCAATTCAGTATACAAATATGATGATATTATGATGCCGTCATTACTGTTAGGTGAATTTTAAATGCTAAAGATTCCATTAATGTCAAAAATCAATTCAAAATCACTTCAAAATTTCTTAATGTAGTGTATATGTATGTGTGTGTGTGTGTATAAGCAAAGGGTCTGAATATTTAGGACCATGTGATATTTCAGTTTTTCTTTTTTAATAAATCTGCAAAAATGTCAACAATTCTGTGTTTTTCTGTCAATATGGGGTGCTGTGTGTACATTAATGAGGAAAAAAAATTTACTTAAATGATTTTAGCAAATGGCTGCAATATAACAAAGAGTGAAAAATTTAAGGGGGTCTGAATACTTTCCGTACCCACTGTACATACACACACACACATTATAATTCATATTATAATGACACACATTATACACATATTGTAATGTAATATATGATATTATAAATTCTCAATTTACCTGATTCTTACATAACCAGTTTAGAATTTCCCATTGTAGAAAGAAATACTCAGTGTAGTAACCCTAAAATCATTTTTTATTTAATTATCTGTATAGAGACATATTTCAGTGCTACTACATGACAGGAACATTAATAGTGTGAAAGTACAATGTTTGAGTAATATTACTACAGCGCTGCCTTGCAAGCACGCTCAAAAAGTTTGAAAGCGATGAGTTGAGAATAGGTGAGAAGAAGTTTGAAAAATGTCTGGGGGAAGATGTGATTTTTTGGTGTGAAGCAAAAGGCCCATGCTAAAAACAAATCTTGCTTCCAATTAGGAAATAACTTTCACTTGAGGTTATAGCGAAAGGATGTTGGAACAACGTGCTGATTTGTAGTGTGACCTCTCGGTGCACCAAAGCTAAATCATTTGCAGGGGGTGACACAGACCGAATTCCTGAATTTCTTTAAATGCCTCCTTAGAGGCTTTTCTAGACAAACCAAGAAATAAAACACTTTTTTCCCCTTTCTCCCTCCCTCTCTCTCACAGTACAAATACTGTTCAGAGCCCTCCATACACAAAAAATAGGAATTCTCTCTGTCTCACTAATAGAATCCAGAAGACCCCTCTCACAGAGTCGAAAGGAATATGGGAGAGTCCTGCAGGGAGGCGACCCCCTCCTCTTTGCACTCTCCTCCCCTCTTCCCCATGTTTGTCAGAAGTAACTTTGTACTAGCTGGACAGAGCAGGGCCCATCAATGGAGCCCATTCACCAGAGGGACCTTTAAAGACCCCATTATTTCCTCCATTCACATGGTTTCAATCTTGTCGAGAGGAATTCTCCACATAGTCTTAAGTGAAGGGAGACCCGCTCTCACCAGAACGCAAGCCGTAAAACTGGCCAAACAATACGGGAGCAGGACAGACCTCACAGGAACACGAGTGAAAAAATCGTTATTAGCAGGAGAAAAGGTGGAAAGGAGGGAGAAAGCACTCTGTAATGGGAAATTGCAGTAGAATTGTATGTAATTTAAAACTGCTGTGTGTCCCGGTGACTAAATGGCATACAGATGGACATCTGGCCCCCTTTAAAAACATGGCTACAGTGCTTGTCTTCTTCTGAGGACCTCACGGTTGCCAGAGTGGATATTTCAGGCTCATTTTTTATATTTATTTTTTTTCTTCTTCTTCCCAGGCTGATGTTTTGAAGTTTGTTATCAGTAGAAGCTGTGTCTCTATTTAATCAATTAGTTTGAAAGTCCTACTGGTGACAATTACTCACTCTTCAGGTTGACCTCTAGAGGTCAGCATTGTTGTAAAGCTAAGGGCCAAGTGTAGCAGTCAAGATCGCTGCCTTCTGTATAAACAGCCAACATGAGCACTCATCTAGAATGTCATAACTCACTGCGTATGTTATGCAGGGAAAATTAAATTTGCCTCGGCGTAATACTTTGGCTGTAGCACATCACTGACGGAGTGTTTGGATTCTGTGTGTGTGTGTGTCACTGACACTGTGATTTTTCCAGGCAAGAGTCGAGTCAGGAATTAAAGTAGACATCCTTTGTTATCGGCCAAACCAATCATTTGCAACCAAAGTAACCAGACAAAAGTGCTGACTCCTGCTTGCGAGGAGTCACAAAGAAACCTAGATTAGAGAGACAATTGTTTGTTTTTAATAATTCTGCACTACTTTACTTTGTGATTACAAACACTTACGTTTGCCTTACCTCACTTGTCTCTCCTGTAGGAACGTGCCGAAGTAAGAAGACATGGCCCAAGACGTTCCCCGAGGAGGAGCTGAGGAAGCGATTGACCCCCATGCAGTACCATGTTACTCAGCAAAAGGTCACAGAGAGGTGGGTGACCCATCCTAACTAAAAGGCACTTTAAAATACACTTTCAGTCAAAGGTTTGAATTGAATGCTTGAATTAAAAACCAAAAAAACTAATGCTTAAGTATTCCAAATTATTCAGTTATTTCATTAATTTTAATATATATGTGTAGAAATTATATGTATGCATGTCACTTTCTATGCAAAACAACAATTTAAAAAATATATAATTTATTTTTAAAAAAAAATGTAAAAACCAAATTAAATTAGGTAAAAATAGTCTATAATGTATTATAAATGTAATATTAACAATAATAATAATAAAAATGTCATATAATTATTATTACTTAAATGTCATTTATAATGATTTATAAAATAATTTTTAATTAATTAATTGTTTTTTAAAAGGGGTCATTTGTTCTGGATTAAATTTTATATTCCAAATAATTCAAATATATTCCAACAACTTTATATTCTAAAAGGTGAAATAACAAACATTGGATTTAGATTTTTTTCAGTTTCAAGCATCTTGCTTTAGCATCTTGTCTGAATATTCCCTGTACAGATTTCTTTATGCTTGGCTTATAAAACTCATGGCACATTCTCTCCTGAACGACCCAAGGCCATGAGAAAAATCTTGAGTAGAAGGAGGATATAGCGTAGAAAGGAAAACACTGACACTTCTCCTCTATCCCTCTGTCGCTCAGGCAGTAGGAATGTGAAAAATGCCCCTTAGCCTGTGAGAAGAAAGCAAAGAAAGACACCTGAAAGGTGCATTTTGAGGCCTGTTACTCTGTTCACCCACAAATCCTCTTCAGCTTATGTAGATAAGAAATGCTTAGTCAGTTGCTTCCATCTAGTTAGTTTTTTTTTTTTTTTACATAAACACGAGAGCATGGGAAACTGAAATGCATTTTGGATTAGCATTAACTGATGAACTTTTATTGAGCTGACCATTATATTTATTAAGCTAACAGTTGATAATTTTAATGTATAAAGTCACAGTTTGTGTTGTTTTGTCATCCCTAGTGCTTTCACAGGAAAATACACAGATAACAAAGAGGAAGGAACCTACCACTGTGCCGTTTGCAGTGCCCCTCTTTTCACGTGAGTGTCCATCGTAATGACCCATCTTTAACATTCCCATTGTATTTAATCTTTGTTTTTGAACTAGAAATCATCTCATTTGGTAGTCAATATTTTATTATTGATGACTTACTGTCCTTGCAGGTCTGATAAGAAGTTTGACTCTGGATCAGGTATGGTTCTGCACTCACGTATAACAAAAATCAGAATAGATAAGACAAATGAGTTTATTTTTGTAAAAATGCTTGATTTTTTTTTTATTCTCAGAACAGCTCCAGTACATCTTTTGGTAATTGTGTACATAATTGTACAAGACTAAGCCTAATTGTTTCTCAAAGAGAGAGAGAAAAAAATAGATAAGGCTCATTGCTCCTCATTCTTATCTTGTCTGGCTCAATAAGGGAGAGTTTGACCTTCTCAACCTCCTTTATGGTTGATTGCAAGGACGAATGTGAATCCAGTCAGCTGCCTAATAGGCTGCAAGTTTGGGGCTTGAAACCTCACATGCTCCTTTATATATTAGTTACAGCACCTAAAGCGAACAACACCCTGACTTCAAGATCCTACAAAATATCTAAAATATTTTAACTTATCTGTTCTCTTTGAGATTAATGATATTGGCTTTAAACATTCCGCCACTGTCATCCATAATCTTTTGGAATCCTCCGGTTCTTAATTTGTGCACATCAAACATTCTTCCTTCACAAATGGAGAACAACTAAATTTTTTGAGGGTTTTTTATTATTATTAATTTAGTTACTGGCTTACAAAAAAATTACAAATAATCCCTTAAAACAATATTTGCTTAGAAAAGTCAAATGAAGAATATGTTATAGTTTGATTTAATGCAGATCATAGTTGTTATGAATTGGTAGTTTCCTGGAAGTGCTTCCCATCTTGTTTTTAACATTGCTTTTGTAGTTGCAATGGTATATTTTCTGTTACGAGTTTAAGATATGTATTCAATGTTTTCTGTTTTAAGCTTAAAAAGACTCTCATCAGCTCGGTCTAAGTGAATGTTGAGTTGACGCTGAGTGTATACAATGTAATTGTAATATACTGCAGCAACGGATTGTTGATCCCTTACAGATCTGAGCTCCAAATCACATACTTCGGTAGCGTTACTCATGCTATTTTTATTCAATCTCCGAACAAAGTAAAACGTGTATGCGAGAATCCTCTACAGAAAACAGGACGAAATGAGAAACATCTGGGCCCCGTGTTGAAAAATCTGATTTTCGCTGGAGTTGAATCTTTACTGTCTTTGTCGTAGAAATGGGAGCCAAACGGGCTGCATTGCATGCAGGCAACTCTGCAGCCTGGACTCATATAGACTCAATTTTCTGTTTTGTTAGAGTGACGCTACACTGCTCCATTCACTGGGCCGCTCGCCCTGGTGATAAAGCTCCATTAGATCAGCTCTGCGACGATCCACCGGGATTCTCCCGGTCTGAGTCATAGGATTCCTATATTCCCCCTAGAGCTTCCTGTGTCTGAGTGGAATTTCGTGGCTTTGTAGTTGCAGCCAAGCATCTCCTCCCTAAGAGGGAGGAGAGAGAGGTCAGTATAGATGGTGATTGAGGGGTGTTTGAGGGGTTGAGGAGGGAAAGTATAGATTGAGTGGGTGGATGACTGACCGACTGACTTCTGTTTCTCACCACACGTAGTATCACAGCAGTGAACCAACTTCTGCTTCCTTATTATAAAATGTAAAATCAGATAGAATTACCAAGATATGCTTGCCAATAATTAGGGTTGAATGCTAGAATAAAGGGCATGAAGGAACCTTGGTTGGCAAATCTCCCACTCTGGCCCTTAAACAACTCTTTCTGTTAGTTCTCCATTAGAACAGAATAATTGCAGGTACTTAGAAAACCTTGAATTAATCTTTTGGCAGTCTTCAAAAGTTCTTAAATTTTTGGCCATAAAGTGAAATGGCATAGTTAGGTTTTTAATTATATTCTAACTCTCATGATGTACCATTCAATACAGATCATTTGTTCTGTACCGGTAAAAGGTTCTTGAGATTTTTTTTGAAAGTCTCTTATGCCCTCTAAGTCAGCATTTAAATAATCAGAAATACAGTAAAAACAGTAATATTGTGAAATATTATTACAATTTTAAAATAACCATTTTCTATTTTAATATATTTAAAATGTAATTAATTCCTCTGGTGAGAAAAGCTTAACTTTCAGCAGCCATTGTCTTCAGTGTCACATGATCTTTATTCTAAATTATTCTAATATGTTGATTTGATGCTTAAGAAACATTTCTTATTATAAATGTTGAAAACTGTTGTGCTGCTCATTGTTTTTATGGAAACATGATATATTGTTTTTCAGGATTCTGTGATAAATAGAAAGTTCATCAATCAAGTTGGTCAATGTAATGTGCTGAAAAATAAATCATACTGAGCCCAAACTTTTAAACTGTAGTGTTTTTATACCTCTAAATCTCTTAATATTCTCTAAATGCTCTAGTATTATTTTTTTGTTTTCTAGATTTAAAAACATACTATTTATACTTAACATTGCAGTTCTGTTGTTTCAAAACTTCATCTGTAATGTTTTGAATAATAATTGGATGTGGTGTACCCTGCAGTGCCAGTAGTCTTGTACTTCTCATTCATTTTGCTTTGCAGCGTCTAATTTAATGTCTTTCCCTCTACCAGTAATCAGGAGGTAGTACTTTAAAATAGGTAGGGTTTTTTGTCAAAAACCTAAACAAATATGCCAGCAGAGGCTGTGTAGTAGTACGTTCCCAAGGTTCCTCTCCTCCAGACGTTCCACCTACCCAGAGAGACATGAGCAGGACCACCCATGAGCCAGAGCAGCCATTCTTTCCACTTGCACCCCTGTTACTGGGTAGAAATTTTCCAGATGAAAGAAAGGGGATTGTGAGAATACGCAGTAACTCTGCTGATAATGCTGACCATTTTCAGTGAGGTTTGTTTCACTTTCTGATCTCATCTTCAGTGGGGTATAGATGGATGCTCCCGTATATCTGGTTTATCACAAATCAAACACTCGAGAATCATGGGGGTGAATTTTGCATCAGCAAATACTCTTGCCATTTAACAACAGTTTCTTTCCAAACCAAAGTACAAAGGTTTTTCTACATTCTCCGTTGTTCTTTTCCAAATAATCCTCCTAACCCAATGTGCTTTGCATTCTAAGCATATGCATTGTATTGCATTAAGGTTACTGATTAGTTTGCATTGCACTGGAGCAAAAGAAGTGAAAGACAAGGATAGAGTGGCAAGAAAATGTGAGGATTCACTCAGAATGCGCTTCAGCATCAGGACAGGCCAGGAAGAGGACAAAACATTTAAACTTACACAGCACGAGATGGAATTGAAGGTTTATAGGTGTGTGGATCACACAAAGATTCACTTAACCCTCAATGCTGTACTGCTTTTACAGGATGGCCGTCCTTTTTTGATTTGATCAATAAGGACTCTATAACACTAACTGATGACTTTTCGTATGGGATGCACAGAGTGGAGACAACCTGCAGTCAGGTACAAAACCAGATTTACATTTTTTATGCATTGCTATGAAAACAACTTCTTGATTTTTTTTTTCTTTTTCTCTTTGTAGTGTGGTGCTCACCTGGGCCACCTTTTTGATGATGGACCTCGACCAACAAAGAAACGCTACTGCATAAACTCCGCTTCTCTCAATTTCCAGGCGAAAAACTGTGCCTCTGAGGAGGTGGAAGCATCTGGAGGAGCAGGTCAATCACTACCTTCTAGTAAGAATGAAGAACTTTAATAGGACTTGAAATAGACCAATCAGATGTCACGCTACTCCAAAGTCACTCCTGAACCATCAATTCCAAATCAAGTGAGCCGTGCAATCAGACAACTATATATTTAGTAACATTCATCTGAATCATGGGTCCTTCAAGATCTCAATATGCAATATCAGTATCCAGATAACAGATTAGAATGGCCTTACGTTCGCTCCCCAACTTTTTTACTTGAATTTTGTGTCATTTGAAGAGCTCACGTCGCTTCAAAGAAATTTGCTCTGCTAAAATGTTTTTTAACACTTGTTGGAAATTTTCAATTAGGGGCAAAGGTCTGAGACTACATTGGAAATCTGGTATTTTTTTATTTGTTTTCATTTAAATTAATATTTTTAAAGATTGAGAATTTTAAAATGGGGAAAATTAAAAACACAGTTTCTAGGTCACTAATCAAGTAAATTTGTGTCAGGTTTTCTGAAGCTCAAGATGATTTTTGAATCATACTCAAATCATGCTTGAGAACATGATCATCATGTAGCTCGCAAAATTGCTGGTGTCATGAAAACAAACATTTTCTCATATTCTTGTAGATTTTTTTCAATTCAGATTTTATTTTTGAATGTTTTTGGGAAGTCGTGGCCTAATGGTTAGAGAGTCGGACTTGTAACCCAAAGGTTGCGGGTTTGAGTCTCATACTGGCAGGGATTGTAGGTGGGGGGAGTGAATGTACAGCGCTCTCTCCCACCTTCAATACCACGACTGAGGTGCCCTTGAGCAAGGTACCGAACCCCCAACTGCTCCCCGGGCGCCGCAGCATAAATGGCTGCCCACTGCTCCGGGTGTGTGTGTTCACTGCTGTGTGTGTGCACTTTGGGTGGGTTAAATGCAGAGCACTAATTCCAAGTATGGGTCATACTTGGCCACATGTCAAGTCACTTTCACTTTTTTCTGATAATATGTGTAATGGGAAAAAAAATGCATTTTCACTAGTGGTCTCTGACTTTTTGGACCCCATTGTATATTGAAAGTCCAATGATTGGAAATTAATTATATATGTATACTTTCTCTGAGCGCTGTGTTGTTTTTGAAGTGACATGTGATACAGGGAGGTCAAGAAGTTTGAGGAAAATGCTATGCAAGTGCTCCTGTGAGCAGTAAAATAAGCACCGAGTGGAGAACAAAGCATTCTTTGAAATAAAATGGAACAGATGACAAATGTTTAGTCTGAACACAAATGTAGCCTGACTTTTAAGGGTGCTTTTTTTGGTCTCCCTGCTTGCAGTGCCTATTTTTGTCCTGAGTTGTGAGTTTTGTTTTTCCTGAGATATTGATTTACTTTGATTGATAGAATTTAATTAATATTTACCAGTGTGATTAAAGAGATATTAAGAATAATGTGTTTTTGTGAATTTTGTTCGCATATTTAGGGGCCAAGCACTGAAGGTGTGATGGCTCCTATTGTATCCGATGGCATGTATTAATATTTTTCCCCCCCCTTATATGAATTCGTTTTTAGAAATTACTTTATTTTGATAGTAACTTTGCAACATGTCAACTACCAGTCTGCTTAATATGTTTGCACTTTATTTTGATAGTCCGCCAACAGACATTCTACTGACTACATGTCCAATTATTCTACTAACCCTAACCTAACAGGCTACTTATAGTCTAATGCGAGGGTAATGTAGTTGCAAAGTTACTTAAAGTTAGTAGAATGTCTAAAGTGGACTGTCGAAATAAATTGTAAGCTTTGATTTTATGGAAAAGGTTACTTTTCGGACATAAGGAAAATCTACGAAATTTCTACTTTTGCATTCAACGGAAGAAAGTCCTTTGGGTTTGGAACAAAATTAAGGTGAGTAAACGTTAATATAAAATTAAAAGAGGTTGATAAAAGCTATTTTACATTTGCATATCTAGCAAATTTACTCTTCAGTGAACTTTTTGCTCATCTTAACCCCATTTTTGTTGCAGCATGTCACCATTGGAGGAAATTCAGACTCCCTGTATGTCCTCTTTGGGTTAACTGGGTGGAGGTACGCTTGGTGAGCTGCTGAAAGTCCTTTGAGCCTGGAGAGGTTACGTCAGCCTCGCCATCCTCTTTGGAGTGCTGATGTTTAGAGAACAGAGTGGTTGGCCTTATTCTGAGAGTGTGGGAAAAATCGTCCAACGGGTCTGTCGCTGAGAGCGTTTATGTTATCGATGCAATAAAGAATATTTACAAGTCAGGTGTGTTTAGACTGAGGGACGCTGGTGGGGGGGCTTTCGACGGAAGATGGAGGTTTTGTGGGGGGACTGGCAGCTGGAGTGTCTCAAACCAGCTTTCAACCCCATATCATCTCCCACCCGGAAGTCAAACAATTTTGTCATTTATGGAGCAAAAATGAACACGCAGGACACTCTTGGTGGGTAGCGTGACTACTCAAACTGTTACAAGCCTTTCTTTTGTTGCTGGAATTCCAAAACATCCCGTTGAAATGAGTCACGTCTTGTCTCTGGCCCAGACATTAACGCTTTAATGCACAGAATGTAGGTAAAACTCGTCCATTAATCTGTTTTCATGTTCAGACTGTCCGCCTCACTTCCTGCCACTGAAGTGTCACACCGAGCAAGTCATACTATATCTTGTCCCACTGACCCCATTAGTTTGCTCTATGAAAGCACTAAACCAAACAAAAGATCTCCAGGCAGCAGCCGTACAACCCAAACACACAATCCGTGATCCACAAAGTCATCCAACACATAAACACCTCCCTCGAACCCTGGGACAAACACTAGACTCTCCATATAGACTGAACACACTCATTCACGGTTTCTTTGGGTACGCATGTGTGCAAGCCCCCTTCTTTCCTGCTTCATAGCCTGCCATTAACTGTAGCTCTGTGCTGACTTTGAGGGATTACAGGGGCTTTGCACAGACCTGCCTCTGTTCACCCGAAAATGCTTGCTTGTTTAAGACCGCAGCTTTGTTGCAGGCACAGGAAACCTTGAATTTAACAGGGTTTATGAATTATTGGTGTTAGTTTTCTCCTTACTTCCTTCCTTCAATCTGTGGAGAACTTAAAAATGTATTTGATAATAAATCAGGCCCCTTTACCAATCATACATTCAGGCTCTTTAACCTGCATAGTCACTTTCATATTCAAAGATTGTGGAACGTTTGTGCAAACCAAACTGAAATTAGCTGCTTGGAAAGCAGTGGAAGTGGTTTCTGTTTAGCTTTCCAAGTGCCAGTGCAATCTCCACACAAATCACACATTGAAAAAGTTCCCCCCATTTATGTGGCTCTTTTCCATGCAATAATGGGAACTAAAGTTTTCACCTTTCAAAATTACCATAAAAGTACTTGAAAAGTCCATATTCCAGGTCTGCTTGCATCTTTTTGAACTTAGAAATCTTTCATTCCAGTTAACTGTAACTACATGAAAAAGAACAACCTCCTTTTGTGTTCCACAGAAGAAGGTCAAATGTGTTTGTAACAAATTAATGGTGAGTAAATTATGGCAGATTTTTCATTTTTGGTTGAACTCTTTTTCTTTAAGTCTAGAATTATCTTTGTCTAGAATCAGAATGTACCATTCCTTTACCACAGTTGGACGCACCTCAAGGACCAAGAGGGAATTAGGATACGCCTTTGGAGGCCCTTTCTAACTTATCAAATTTATAATGGCACTTCCTGATTGTCCTGAAAGAATTGCTTCATCCCAAGCTCTCACAGACCTTTCCCCTGCATTCGGAATGTTTCGGATGTCATAATCTGGTCAATTGAAGAAGAAAGGGAGGACAAAGCACTGAAGTGAGTGTAAAAAAAGAACTTGTGGAATAGTGTAGCTCTGCCAGATCTATCAGACATTCATCTGATGGATGTGTTGTGACTCCTTTCCTGAAGAAAAGTCAATGATCTCATTTCAGCTCTGTTAACTTCTGCCAAGTATTTACTTTTTTCAATGAGCAGTGTGGGGGCAGAGGGACAGAGTCTGCCTGTGGCCTCATTCCAAATGATGCAATTTGACAGAAACCACATGAAGGGCCGAGGGTATGCAGTATGGCCAGGGTCTCAAGCTTGAAGGCAACACTCTGCCTCTACCAGGCCCTGCTTGTACCAAGTGTGCCTTTAGTATGATTGGTTCCAAATGCACTCAATATATATTTTACCCGAGGTTGTACCAGTCCCACTGCAATCGTTTTGATACTAAACTACATGGTTAAGTTGTTTGGGAATATTGTGCAGGTTGTCTTTCCCTCTACTGTCGTCTTGCAGTACTTTTGCTGAACTGGAGTTTGGCGTCTGCAAGTGAGACATCACAGCTTTGGAATGCCACCAGGCGATCACCACACCACCTCTCCAGCATGCCGAACATAAATAAACCCCAGGATCTAGCCGCCTTGTTATTCCTAGCATTACTATCAGGAAGTGTCCGGTGATGATCTATGCTCTTCAAATAGTTAATTTGCTGCCTCGTTAATACTTTCTTTTCCCAGGACAGGGAATCAAAAAGCAGCTCTGTGTTTTGAAGTTGGTCAAGGGGATGAGGCTCACCACGACCCCTGTGGTTGGTTTAGGATTATGTGCTGTTATTGGGGACGTGTGTGTCTGTCTGCAGCTGGTGTATTGGAATGAAGAGTCTAGCATCTCTCGAGCCGGGAAAACTTAATTTCTATCCCTGTTTGTTTTGAATCTGCCAGGTTGTTTTGACTGCCTAAGTTTGCATCTCGAGCACACATCCTGATGAACCCAGTGAATGTGTCCTGTGCATGACCTTGCAGCTGTCCGAGGGTTGAGCAGATGCTTCGGCGAAGCTTTAATAGGTGATGAATGCAGAAGCGTAACTTTCACGGACAAGTGGGATTGGGCTTGCTGTTGCAAAGTGAAAGCTTAAAGGGATCGTTCACCAAAAATTAAAATTCTGTCATTAATTACTCACCCTCATGTCGTTTCAAACCCGTAAGACCTTCGTTCATCTTTAGAACACAAATTAAGATACTTCTGATGAAATCCGAGAGCTTTCTGACCCCGCATAGACAACAACACAAC